GAGAGCAGTGAAGCCACACGGCCTAACCGCCTCTCATGGCACCCACAAATTCGGCTCCATGCCTACCAAAACGCGATTGCAGCTAAAGCGGCTTCAAGCACTCATACCCAAGGACTCAGGCAGGAAGAGTTTTGACCGTAACGTTCTAGTGGCTTTTCCCTGTAGTAGTTGTTGTTGTAGGCTGTGCATTGCTTGTCTGCATTCGCCATGCCTCCTCGTCCCCGTCCATCCTGTGCACCTGGACTCTGGACGACTGCACCCTCTCGATCACGATCTCGGCGACGCCCGAGGTCTGCGTCCTCATCGTCTTCCTCTTCCTCTTCGTCGTCAACGCCGGCGGCACCTACGACCCGGACTGCGGCACCTCAACGTTCTACTTTGACTGGCCGAATCGCTGCCCCTTTACAGCCTCCACGACCTATTGATATGGCAGCTCCAAGCACTCTTCCTGATCTTTCTCCTCTTCCTCCGAGCCCGTTTTGGCCTGGTCTACTTCCCACTGGCTCAACCCCGTCTTCCCCCAACAACGACCAGTCAGTGCCTGCTGATGCCTATGTCCCTACCTCACCGCCGGACCCGTCTACCACCCCTACGGCATCCTTGACGTCGCCACCTACAGCATCTTCGACCTCAGCAGCTCCCTTCAGCTCCGCTTGCACGTTGGCAACCTTACGCCAGTGTTTGGCCACGGCAGGCCAATTTGATACCTACCTGCAATCCGATTACTCCACACGGCTGGGCTCCCTCAAGGCGGTGCACTGGGATCGAGTGTATACTGCATTGCTGCAATACAGGCCCTACTTCAAAGCGCTCCCTCATCGTCGACAATGTCAACGGGAGTTACTCTTGGAGGGACGCCAAGTTGATGTGCCTTTCACTCTAGCCGATCCGATACTCACAGTGATGCATCTGTTGGTACATGCTGGATACCATCCTCACAGTGTTCAGTTCAAGTTTACACACGTCGAGGCTCCCCAACATCAACCAGACCAAGCAGGCAGACCGATGCTGATGGTTTCGCTTCCCTTCCCGGCAGCGGCACAGCATGTTAGCGGGGCACCTGCCGTCGCGTATTTCGGTCACAACACGGACCTTCAGGCGGCTTTTGGCATCCTTAAAGAAGGCTGCATCCGCCCCAGCAATTTCGACCCCCTTGACGCTTCTTGGCTGCCGAGTCCTGCCTTTTACTCTCGCGCTTCTGTCCACAGTCTCAGCGGAGCCTTACGGGCTGCAGCCAAGTTCGGAGGATGGGGTTCTCCCCGTCCGATTTGTGTATATGGCCGAATCCCCATTTGCTATCTCGACATAGCCAATGCCGCGCCTACCGACACACCGTCTTCAGTGCTCCCCAACACTCCCGCGGCCTATCACCTGAAGAGCGACAGTGGGGGCACCGTCCCCGAAAATGCGGCGAACTACTTCGTCTCCATCCTACACGGCAACGACAACCGTTGGGGCGTGCACTCCACGCTTGCACAACCAGAAGGCATTGCCGTGTTCATGTGAGAGGACCCACAAAATGTGTGCGTGACTTGCGGTGTGGCATTGCTGGTCTCTTTGTTGTTGCAGCCTTATTCCTCTTCATCCCGCAGCCGTTTTGCTGAAACCTTCCCAGCACATCATGGCCTCCTCCGCCTTCACTTCCGAATATTTGCAGTTGTTCTTGGTGTTTTTCGAGTCGTTGTCCGACCACCAACTGCTCCAAGTACGTGACGTATTGCTACGAGCCCATCAGAATCGACCGACTTTGACTCCTGTGACACCGGTGACTACGACATCTACTCCACCGCCTCCGGATGGTCCTCCACCTGCCACAGCGCCGCTCACCTCCAGTGACCCAGGCCCTTATTCTGGTCAAGCCGCCTACGACTCTCCTGGACCTCAAGTACTTCCAGACGGCAGTGTGGCCCCTCCGGCCCCCATGGGACCACCACCGATTCCTCCTCATGTGGATCCCTCCCAGCGCCAGACCCTACCACGACTTCGGAGACGAGATCGCGACCGCCCTCGAGATGAAGAACGTTCTCGCGCTGAAGACCGCGATCGTGATCGTCATCGCCGTCGACGTCGTTCGGTATCCCCACTTCCTCCCGCTACCTGCTGGACCTTCTTCTCCTCCGATGCCATCAACCCCGGGACATTCTGATGCCATCCCGATCGGCCACACAGTTCCACCTCCGGCTGTCTCCAAGCACACTGGACGACCTCTTGCACCTAAGGTCGATGCTGATGGCACTTTGACTTATGTACCGGTCAAAGCGCGACCGCAACTTCCTCCTCCACGGACCACAACGGCGACAACCGGCCGATCCCGCAGTCGGCGTCGCCACCGCGACCGTGCTGACCGAGACCGTGATGATCGTGAGGATCCTGACCGCTCTCGAGGTGCGCGTGATGTTCCCCATCGCGATCGAGACCGTGATCGACACCGACGGGATCTGAGCGGAGACCAGCAGCGCCCACCCCTGACCCTCTACTCCGTCGCTCGGGCCTGAACAAAACATGTGCCATCGCCGACTCTGCTCCTCCTTTCTTGGATGTCCCGCAGCCATTTTCTACATCACTCCACAGTCCTGCCCTTCCCTGGTACCATACATGCCTTTCCGACGCTCTGCTCCTCTTTCGTCCTCTGCCTCCTCTTCCTGCTCGACCTTGTCGTCATCCACTTCGGCAACTGTCTTGGAGTACTTGGACGTATTGACTGATCCTTTCATTCTCTTCCGGGTGTTCTTACCACTCTTGGAACTTCGTCTACGTACAGCTCTCGTCCCTCCGGACTCGATGATGGACACTGCTTCTGCCCGTACACCCGCCCCGGACTCCACTTTACGGTGCCTCTTTCCCATTGCTGAACTACATGGCCAGGCCCTTGCGTTCCGGACGGAACGCGACTATCACCTTCACTATGCCCTCGCCGAGATCACATTCCATCCCGGTGTCGTTGCTTCTTTGATGGTGACCTGCTCGCGAACATACTACGCCGTACGAGCCCTTCTTCGTGATCGTGGACTTCAATATGCCTTCTACGTGGAACGCACACCCGATCTTCCACGGTCACATTCTTCTCGACCGTGCCTATCCATCTTCCATCCGTTTTGTCCACAACAAGTCCGCGGTATGGCGTTACACCGTGGAATTCAGCATTGGGTCTTCATTCCCTCCAGCTACCAGGAGTTGCCTCTGATCCGGCTCGGACGTTTCTCATGATGCGCGCTCAGGACCTGGACAAAGAGGACTATTTGCTACTGCAGCAGTTCTTAAGCGAGCTCACTTCCCGCAGCCGTTTTTACTTTGGCTCCTTTCACCTGCTTCCTCACACCTCCTCCCATTCTTCCTCCTCCTTATGCCTCCACACCGCTCTCGCACTCCACCTTCCCGACGACATCGTCTACATGGACGTGATGAACCTTCTCGAAACGATCCTTATTCGTCCCAGCGGAACATTACGACGCAACCTCCCAGGTCGGGGTCCTTCCGGGACAATCGCGCACACAGCCGTACGTCTCCTCCTCGGTCCCGACGACATCGCAGCCGAACCCCGGTGTCCAACACGCCGGAACATCACCGCCACCGCCGCCGTGGCACTTCGATCAGGCAACATCGACATCGAGATCCTGATGCTGATTCTCCCCCACGACGTCGGCTACACTATTCTTCACCACGGCCATCGTCTCGACGACATCCTCCTCCTTCCGACTCTGACCGACGGGCACCACATTCTGACAGCCGGGTGCACTCCACTCCTCCACCTCATGATGATCCATCCCACTATTCGTCCTCCGGTGCACCTCCTGCTCGACGTGAACCTCGCCGTGATCGCCGCGATCATCCTTCCGCTCGAGATCACCGCCTACTTCAGGAACGCTACGAAGACATCCATCCGCTCGGCGCCAACTGGGAAACCACCGACCTCTTCCTTGACGCGAACCCAGACCGCGGTTTCCCTTTACCGCGCAATGTCGTAGACACTGCCTTTACCCGGCGTCTCGGCATCGCCGAAATGCCTATTCATCTCGTACCTGTTGTGTCGCTCACCCCGAATGCGGGGCAAGCATGGATCGTCCGCCTGCTGGCTGCTGGCCGCCCTCTTGTGATCGAAATTTTCAGGACGCGACAGGAAGCGCTTTTGGCGTCATTCATTATTCGGACACTCCGCAAGTCCTCGGACCAATACGACATCTCTGATGTCCTTAAACAACTACACGACAACCACACCGTTGCTACCGAAGGCCCACGCGACCTTACCATATGGGCGTATCGCGCTCAGCTCTTGCAACACGTGGCGGACAAGGTTGCTGCGACGATTAATGATCTACTACCCCACGGGGAAGGTGCAGCCGGAGGACGACCTGGACTTCTTGAACAAATTCAACGATTGCAGCAGGAGAACGACCAGCTCAGGTTGCTTGCCGCTGGCACGGGCGCCGAGACCTTACCTCATCCACTTGCAGAACCGAACCCTCCACCAGACGCTGCCACCAGACTCCGGGACTCCTTCTCCAAGTTCGAACGACTTGATCGCCGCGCTGTCCTCGCTTCCAACTCCCCCAAATCCGCCTCTACCACCGATGTGAAGAAATGGCTCGACGGTCTCATCAAGCTCCATCGCGAATCCTACACACCGAAGCTCACCGAGTTACAGGGCATCTTGAAAGAGGCCGCTTCGGGCGTCCTGCCACCCCTTGACAAAACCCTTGTGGATTGGGGATTGACCGTCAGTTTGGCTTCCAAGTTGTCTGAAGTCAACCAACAAAAGCTATTAGCGATGACGGCGGTCCTCTCCGCCTTCCAGCCAGCCGCTGTTCCTGCCACTGCTCCCAGCACATGAGCGTGATCGTCCTCACTATATTTCAGATGGCACATCGCACCAACTGTTACCATCGCGGGGGTGGCTGCAGTCGAACGGAAACAGTTTGCAGCGTTGCAATGCCTGCCTGGACGTTGATTCACATGTTCGCACCTTCCGAAGCCGTTTCCTTAAGGTTTTTGACATTAACACCATGCCGCTCCAGCTTTCCACACTTCCTTGCGGATTTGTGCACCAGCTCTTGGACTACCACCAGAACTTGTTCGCGTACGCCGTGGCCGCGACTCACCCCCCTATTGATGGCAGTCCAGGCAATTCTATTCGGCAGACCACACGACATCCCGATGACGTCATGATCCGTGATCGCCTGGCAGAGCTCATTGACCGTCACACTAACCTCTTCTACGGGTTCTTTCGCGTTGGGGACAACTATTATCATGGCCTATTTGTTCTCACCTTCGACATCGGCGTCATCTCGGCACTTTCGGCCACCAACCGCCATCTTAATGATGCACTCGCCATCTACCTCCTCGCTCGCTCCATGACCACTGTTGCCCTCCTACCCGCGGATCGTTCTGAACCTCCTGATCTTCTTCGTCGGCGTCTTCCACTTGGCTCGGAGTTCTCCAGCATTGTGCGGTTCTCCTCATTGACGTACCGCTTGGGCATTCCCTCCTATTTAACTGAGTTCGATTGCACGGAGGTCCCCCGCAGTCGTCTATTCCGATTACGACTCCATGCCTTTGGCACCGCCCTGCAGAGCAGACACCTTCAGGACACCTCCTGGAGCGGATGATCGTGTGACACAAAGAGTCCTCACTTGCTCTTCCTTTTCATCACTGACTTCACACACTCTGAGTTGTTACCCGATGTCCTCTACCCGCAGCCGTTTCAGCTACTTGGTTTACCCTTCATCCACTTGCTCGTCACGAACTTGGCACCGGAGGCACTGGTGGACCTTCCTACTACCTCTGAATACCGCGAATGGGTGGCAGCCGCTCGAGAATCTCGCAGGGATCGCACTACACCGACCCCCTCGACCACCTATGTCTCACTATCCTCTGGAGACAACCGTACGATTTCCACCTTCACCGACGTCCCGGTCAATTTTTGGCTTTCTCCTTTCATCTTGATGCGAGGCTGGTTGGTTCCGTTCTCCTCGACCTCACCGCGACCGCACATCCACCAGATTATGCACGAGGTGATGACGGAGGCCTGTAACATGTATTATGAGGTTGTCCAGATCGCGGATAATTCTTACCATGGGTTGTTCGAGATTGTACTCGACTTGTATCTCACCACGCAGCTCCTCCGGGTCAACCGCATTATGAACTACGAAGTCATTCATTTCTTGCACGGGCGCAACATTACACACTTCATCACTCGGGACGTTCATCAACCTCGACCCGCTCAACTACTACCAGGTGAACCCACTCCCCGTATGCGAGGACCCTTTCTGCCTCCACGCATCCTACCCATCGGCACCACCTACGCTGACGTGGTCCGGTTTTCAGATGCGGTTCTGACATTGATGATCCCTCATGAAATTCACACTTGGGAGGCCATGGAGTTGTTGCAAACACAGCTACGGTGTCTACGCGCCCGCTCCTACCTGTTGTTGGGACAATGTCTCCATTACCACCGCCGCGTGTTCTTCACCACAGCCTCCGCCAATGATATGGATCCATGACGCCGTGTTCCGCATTCTGGCCTTCATACACTCTTCTTGACTGCCCGTACGGAAAAGATCACATGCCCGATGCCCCATTGTTTTCGTGTTGCAACCCTTTGCTCTGATTTATGGATCCCGCAGCCGTTTCTCCCATTGTTTTACAACACGGCCGCGCCCTTCTTCACGCCGAGCTCTATGAAACGATCAGCCGCCGTCGCCGGGCTACCCATTCCACCTAATCTAATACGTCTGCGTGTTCTGATTCCGGCATGGTTCCTTTGCTGTGACCTACCCGATGACGGTGGACATGCGGAGTGGTTTGATTTTCATGTGTGGAGCGACATGCTCATTGACCATGTGAAACAACGACTCTCGCAATTCCTTCATCAACGCCATGGTCGTTATCTGCACCCATCTCACTTTCAGTTACTCCAGGGCGACCGACACCTCTCCTACATGAGGAGTACCACTGCGATTGCCACCGTCAAGGACGCTGAAATCCTCCGAGAAGCACCCGCTTGTGGCAGTCTACTTGAAGCCCGCCGGACGACCTGGCAACCGGCCATTGAACTACCTCAAGGTGCCACACCGACTTGGGGACGTTGACGGCAAAACAGATTGCTGCCGTCCTTTGTGCCGTGTTCCTTGTTCTTTCTTGGATACATGCCGCAGCCGTTTTCGATCATCATCATGAGTGTTCCCTTCCCCATTGCCTCGCTCGCGCACATCACCTCGTACTTACAGTACATCGATGTGATCTTGGAGTTACACGACGATGCTGACGACTCCCCAGAATCACATGACAACTTGCCTTTGTGGGTGACCAGGTCGTGCGATCTGATTACCAGCTCCATGCGAAGGGCCCGGCTTCAATGCTGCACACCGCGATTGATCCGACACGGATACCATGAAGCAGTCTTTCGCGTCTCCCTGCAACACGTGAGTTTATTCATTTGTCAGACAACGGCAGCTGTTTGTTCGGAATGGTGCTACGTTCTCGTGATTGTCTCGATGCCACTGAACATTTGCAACTACACCTCGCCCGCATCCCGCAAGCTGCTCTACGGGGCGCTCCGTGCAAACTTTTCTACTGGGATGACGAGGAAGGCGTGGAAACAACCATCTCCATACTACGAGCTGCCCTACCAGTTCGTCGCATACGTTTTCAGCACTTCTCTTGATTCACTCCATACCGCCCTGACGTCGGAAAACCGTCCGACCCTGCCATCCTCGGTTGACCATGTTTGCTCCCCTTCCCTTTTTCGTCCGCAGCCGTTTACATTCGGGACGTTTCCTGTCCCCCACCTATGCCCATGGTCCATGAGCGGCGCCGGTCTCGCACTCCACGTCGACACCATTCTGTACGTGCGGAAAGCACTCCTCATGCACGAGTACGAGGTGACAGACAAGCTCAGACCAGTCGACTTATTGATTTCCTACATCAGGGCCCACTTCACCCGCTTTATCGCCGCTTTGCCAATGGCCAGTCGGTGTACCCGCTTGCTTTCGAGTCCACCGATGCCTTACTACTCGTTAACGAGGTCATGCGACAATTGACAGAAGGTTCTTCATTTTCACCAGCACAATTTCCTGCCTTACGTGATGATGATGTTGCCCGCCACCTACGACATGAACTCTTCCCTTCCTCATCATCCTCTACCTCTTCAGCATCCCGGTCAGCTATGGGTTTCAATCATCCGAGAAGATCACAGACATCCGACGGTCTACCACTCCGAGCAACCCCGGCCTCATCTTTGCGACGTTCCACCACCAGGACATCCACAACTCCGTCTACATCTTCAACCTTACGGATTCCACAGCCCCCTCTCGATGCCACTTTCTCTCACCGTCCGGATCCCACACGCAGGTCGTCACCACTTCGAGTACATTATACTTGTCCTTCCTCATGTGACACGTCCCATCCACCTTGGACTCCGACATCTTCCTCCACAGGTATAACTTCATCGACCGGGACGTCCCTTACCACACCCACCGGCTGGACCAAAGACTCGGACCTCAAGATTGATGGATTGACAACAACACTACGACAAACTTTGCCTTCGATTTCCGACTCTCGCATCCATGAGTGGCTGACCAGCAGATACGCACTGACACGCGTTCAGGTTGCTCACACCTTACAAACGTCCGCTCTCCGACTCCTCTTCTGCCTGGAGATCTTCAGCTTTGACCACTTTTTCGCTGAGGATTTGGGAGACGACGATAACGATGTTCCACAATTTTCTCCGCGACCCCCAGTACGTCACCGCCTACCGCCTCATCCACACCGACTTCTTACATCTTTCCTGGACTTTTACATTGCGGCATTGCCGATCATACGACAAGTTCTTCCACATCATGTCTTTGGACGTCTTTCCTGGGTACGCGCTCTGTGGTTCCTACAACTTCATCGCCTACGGTTCGCCACTACTACCAACCATCGCGGTCTCCAGGATTTATTCTTCAACTTGGACGTACAGCGGTACACTCTACGACATCATTTACAGTCCAGCGTTGTCTACATCAAAATCTCCCACAAACACCCCGGATGGTACATCGGCTCCACCATCCACACGATCACCGACCGGGAAGTTAGCCGCCGATCCAAATACAATCAACTTTGTTCCGGCACACAAGCGTTCTTCGAGCCTGCCTTACGCATCTGGCACGCTGCCGGTACATACGACCATCATCTACCGATTACTCTACAGCACCGACCTACTGAGGAACAAGTCCGCGCCTTGGAACAAGCTCTGATTGCCACATATCATCCACACTTGAATGCCCCTTTCGTTTACACGTTTCTACGGAAATTGGGAGTGCAACTGGAAGCACCCATGGTCGTCACCTTCTTGGAAGGTGGCAACGGAGCTCGTCTTTTACGCGCTCATCATCGGTACACACACTACCGGGATCTACCGGAACTCCTTGGCACTCGCTCCCTCATCGAGCAACGGGAGACCCTGGCCACAATCATACAATATGTCGGCAGCAATGGCATTCTCAAGTTCTTCTCACAACGAGTTCTACGTCGGAATAGCACTCCGATCGCCTACCTCTACTTACTCGTTCGCTTCCTTGTCTTTGTGGATGAACCACATCAAACACGTGCCCTACAAGCTTTACGTCTAGCCCTTCGCTACAAAGGAGGAGATATCCCGCCTCGTCACCGATTACTTCCTCTTCCTCAGTTGGCTCATGACTTTTTACGACAAGCTCAACACTGGTTGGACAGCTATATACTTCATCACCGAGAATGGTTCCCGCCTTACCACCTACCACGATACACCATTACCGAGAGAAAGGCCCCTACGCTTGGTCAAACCTTGTTCAACCACCACGCATGGCTACGACAGTGGGACCCAGAGAAACCCTTCCTTTGCTGTTGTCAACAACTGCCAGGACAACGCACACCCTCGGATCATGTAGCAGCTCCGGCCGATGTCGTTCTGAACGAATCCATCTATCGGGAGAACATGAGCGACGGCCGATGGTTGACCAAATCTCAATTTCGCAGGTTTACAGTGGCCCCTTTGAACCGATGGTTCAAGCTGTGGCGACAACCTGACCAATCCTTACTTCGCTGGCAAGTCTTTGTCTCACACCAATGGCAACTACACAGCCAAACTCTACGGATGCGACCTGACGGCAGACAGTTACGCGAACTCAAGAACTTACGGGAAAGCTCAGAACACATCGTGATCTCCCCCATTGATCATGGACCGCATTTGGCTTATGCATTCTGTCCTCAACAATACTTCGACATCTTGACCAAGACCTTTCTGGATCCTGCAGTTTTCTGGCGACGAGACACCAACCCGATGCAGCTATCGGAACATATACAACGAGCCATCAAACGACACGTTCCTACACGCTATCACTGGGCCCTGGCACCCAAAGAATCTTTGCCGTACGCCTACGTGCTCCCCAAGCCCTCCAAACAATTCTTGAAGGGTCGCCCGATTGTCAGCTACTCCAACACGTGGTGTGCCACACTCGCGAAATTTCTTTCCACCGCCGTCCTACAGATGCTACAGACGGTTGTTCCACCTCAGTTCGTTTCCCCTACCGTCCACTCCATCATCCAGACGTTCATCCATGCCTTCCGCAACAACCCGGTCACGGTGGAACTTCAGCTACTTCAACAAGATCTTTCTGGTTTCTTCACTTCGGTTCCACATGATCGCATTTACCACTCGATCTCGTCGTTGACAGACATGTTCGCTCGCCACCAACAGATTCCCTTGGACTCTGACATACAGATCACGATGCTGGACCGCAATTCACTTGGTCGCCTATTTCGAGGCCGATATCGAAAAGCCGGTTCACATTACAAACCTCTATGCCTTCGTGACTTACCTTCATTGGTTATGTTCTTGCTACGTCACTCCTTTTTCACAGTTGGCACGGAGATTTTGGTACAACATCGCGGGGCCTCTATGGGCTCACCCATGGCCCCCTCAATATGCGGAGCGACCGCAGCCCTGTGGGAAGCCACATTCCACCAACTCATTCGCGATCAGATGCTGACCTCTCGTTATTTCTGTTCTTCACGCTATGTGGACAATCGTTGCCTCCTTCGGATTTGGGATGGGGAACTGGAATCCCTGGACGACTGCCAACGACACCACTCCCGCCGAGGCCACGATCCTCTCTCTTCATCCTCTACGTCATCGTATGGTTGGTTTCAAGAGGTATACCTACATCCACATTTCTATGGCCTTCCCTTGGAATTGGAACACGTTCCGGGACAAGAACTGTTGGGCACCGTCGTGGACACCGCACAACGTTCCATCCGACTTGTCCTCCCACGGAACAGTATCTCTTTGCACTCTCCGTGTTCAGTCTCTTCGACACGCAGGAACACTCAGGGACTTACCACGCGGATTTATCTCATTTGCAGATTATCCTGGCCCAAAGCCGTCATTGCACCTCAAGTTCGTGAACTTGTTCATCTATATCGTGAAGGAGGTTTCTCTCAACGCTCACTGGAAGACGCATCCCGGTCCGTACTTCGTCGTTTTGGACTACGTTGGCGACAGGTCAGTGAACCCCCGGAAAACTTGCTCCCATGCGTTTATTGAACCTGCGCCCCCTTCCTTTCGTTGATTTATTCGCAGGCATTTTAGGTCAAGTTACCACCAGAGCCCCTAGTCATGGCCGGTTCTTCCCCCGATTCCTATCTTTTGGACGACGTCACCTGGACACCAGACCCGGACATGGACTCAGACCTGGACGCCTCCTCCGCACACGATGCTGGTCTACCTCCCACAGGTTCAGATGTTGACGGGGACCCCACGCCTCATCGCACCCTTCCACTTTCTCCCTCTCCTCTCCCAGGGAAAACGACCCAGCAAACGCCGTCGACGACATCGCCACCATACTACCTCCTCTTCTTCCACATCGTCTCGACCTTCCAAGGCCACGTCAACATCATCGTCGACATCTTCATCGTCTTCATCCTCTTCTTTGTGCCCCACTACGGAACTACAAACAGTGGACCCACCTACCTCCTCGTCCCGTTCAAAGAAACGTCCACGGAAGACACCTTCCAGGACCAGCACTACCACTCCAGCGACAGGATCTACACTAGCCACGACGAATCCTCCCTCAGCAACAGTGGACGCTCCCCCTCGTATCCGAATTCCTCCCCGAGGAAATGGTTATACATTACATCAAGTACGCCGCAGCAAGTCGGGCACTACACATTCCACCGTTTCATTCCATGGAGATGCCGCAGAACGTCGCCGACAACAGTGGCTCCGACAATGGCGCCAATGCACTCCTGCCTCCCCGTACTATCAGGACGTGCAGAACTGCATTAGACATCGCGCCCGCATTATGTTGGACATCATAGCACATCACCGGGATTGCACCGCTCGCAGACGACGGTCCGTCCGCGAACTTCTGAGTACCTGATTCCAACGAGATCCCGCTCTGGAAAACATGCCCTGACATCTCCGTTTCGTCAGTCCCACACCCGCAGCCTTTTTACCGCAGCTTTTCTGTACAAACACAGTTGTTTCCCTTCCTCACCCACGAATGGCTTCCTTCACTGACATCCTCCCCATGATCCTCTCCTATTTCGAGATGCAGACTATGATACAATTGGATCCCCGTCATTGCCAACGTCCACACACTGATGACCGCCACACCACCCGCTCCGCCTTCTCCATCTTGACCGCACATCACGGTGATTGTTCCTGGCATCAATATGGCGTTTGGCAACAGTTCCTCGCCGCCCTTCAAGATCACAAGATGAGCGCCCACAACTTCTTTGGCTTCCACCACGACAACACGGTGTTCACGATCTATCATTATCAGCCCTCGGTCATCGTATACTGCAATCGACTGTGTTGGCGAGCCCACGTCCAGCTACGTTCTGCATCACGACTTTGCCTACGTGTTCGTATTCGAGATCCTACCCTAGCACAGTGGCGACCTACTTCGTCCGGACCCTGGATTACCACATACTGGTGTTCAGCGCATTGCCTTTCCTTTTCCAAATGGCCACCTACGATTTCTCGCCGCCACTCACCTCCTCCACCCATCACAACGGACAATCCTTATTGGCAACAGGAACAACAACGACATGGTCTTCTCCCAGCTCTGAGACGGTGAAGCTTTGGAGGACACTGACGGAAATTTTTGAGACAAAGACCCTCACTTGTGCATCTTGACCGTGGTCCATTTGATCTACCGCAGCCTTTTCAGCACTATTTGGTTAGTCCTCGGCCTCTCCTTTCCTTCCTTTCGTCGCCCGTACACTCATGGCCCCGCACCTACTCGATATTCCTTTGGAATGGTGGCTTGACTACTTGGTGGAGCTCCGAGTATGGCAAGTTCGTCCGATGACCTCCCCCGATCTCCAGATCCCCAGTACCCTCCTTGATCCACGCTTTGTCATATCACAGCACCGATTCACGACCTCTCAGAACCGCTACTACCTCGACACCCTCCATGGACTTTGTCAACTCAATCCTTCCTTCCAACGACTGGATTACTATGACCCGAACATCTGCGGTTACCAGTACAGCATGTTCACAACCGCACCATCTCCACGCGTACTTCACGCATTACTTCTCGCTGATCGTCGACTACATTACATAATGAGCCAACTGATACTTCGTCATCGTTGGCAACTTTGCCTTGGTCTACTGGCACCTAGAGTCTACGCTCGTCATGTTGATCGACGTCACTTTCAAAGGCACGAATTGCCAACTCCTCTCCGAGACGTTCTCCACCGACTTTCCTTGCACCGCTGCCAGATCCTGCAAGTTCACCCGACGGCTCTACCTGCTCTACATGCTCACCGTCTTCGTCTGATTAATTCACCCCGCTACGGCGGGGTGTGTGTGTGACAACCCTGTATCCAAGGGCCTTCTCCTCACGCTCTGCAGCCATTTCCTACTTACGATTTACATATAACCGAACTTGAGTGCAGAGTACACAGCAGGGGCACACGGCATCCACAACCCACCGTGTGCAACGAAGCTACGGTTGTGGATGGGAAGGGGGACTTGGCCAGTCCCCTGTACCTGCAACGCTTGTGACATCCTGGTCTTCGCTGTATATGGTTCATCGTCGTACTGGATACATGCTACATTCTTTCGGCGTGGATGGCCTGGGGCTAAGCCAAGAACCCCATCCGAACACTTGTGGTTGCGCAACAGTGCTTGTGAGTCAGCGCGAGCTTGCATCTGCAGTTCACAGTTCTGGTCTTGTCCTTGTTCCTCAGTGTCTGCAGCAGGTTCAGGCCGTGTTGGGGTTTAGTCAGGTCGCAGGTCTAGGTGGCATACTTTGAGCCGTTCAGCTTCGACCTTACTGCACATGAAGATACGTGTTCAAAGTTGCTGGTGCATGGTCGCCCAAGACCTGGGCATCAGGTGGTCCTTCGCATACAGAAACCTCTCTTAGCATTCAGTGTGTGGGGGATCTGAAAACGAATGAAAAACCAATCAAAACCCAATGTTTTCAAAATCCATTGGGTGGCTGTGTGTTCACCATCCACCGGCCGGCTGTGTGTGTGTGTGTGGGTGCTTAAAAAAATTGAAAAAACAATCAAAACCGAGTGTTTTCAAGATTCGGATCCATTGGTTGGCTGTGAAAATCAATCGAAACCCAATGTTTTTCAACATTCGGATCCTTTTGAGCTGGTCCGACACTTCCAGACCAAGCCCGAAGCCCCAAAGAGCAAAGAAATATTTTCAAAAACGAGTGTTTTCTCATACATATTAAACAAAATAAAAAGTGACCGCCGGCCGGCGGGAGCCGGCCGGCGTTTGGGCAGGGGTTGGCAAGAGGAGAAGCTAAACGCTTTTTTTGTAAGTTTCTGAAGGTTTCGGCTTCAAGGTTGGAAGGGGTGGGTTCAAAACTTTTGGTTCGGGGGTTCGGTTTTGTGGAATTCAGGATTTGAGGAGCAGCCCTTTGAAATGAATGGTTTTGTCAAGAAGGAGCTGTGGGGCTTGTATTTCAGGAAATTCGATGGTTAAAGTTTTTATGGCACAGCTTATGGTGTACTTGTAGCGGCCAGTATAGTTTCTGGGCAGCAAAACAAAAATAAGACATAAGCGAACACGAAAAGGGCGTACGATTCGTTATGGCATTGGGTTCTGCATCTTTGTGGTATCTTACAGCAGACAGGGGGTACGATTTATTACGGCATGGGGTTCTGCATCTTGGTGGTATCTTACAGCAGACAGGGGGTACGATTTGTTACGGCATTGGGTTCTGCATCTTTGTGGTATCTTACAGCAAACCGGGGGTTTGATTTGTTACGGCTTTGGTTCTGCATTTTGGTGGCATCTTACAGCAAACAGAGGGTACGATTTGTTACGGCATGGGGTTCTGCATCCTTGTGGTATCTTACAGCAAACGGAGGGTACGATTTGTTACGGCATTGGGTTCTGCATGTCTGTGGTATCTTGCAGCAAACAGGGGATACGAATTGTTACGGCATTGTGTTTTGCATTTTTGTCGTATCTTAGAACAGACAGGGGATTCGGTTTGTTACGGGCATTGGTTTCTGCATTTTGGTGGTATCTTACAGCAAACTGGGGATACGATTTGTTACGGCATTGGATTCTGCATTTTTGTGGTACCTTACAACAAACAAAAGTTCGGTTTGGGCTCTGCATCTCTGTGGTATTTTACAGCACAGGGGCACAACCTGTTACGGCATTGGGTTCTGCATTTTTTTGGTATCTAACAGCAAGCAGGGGGTGCGATTTGTTACGGCATTGGGTTCTTCATTTTTGTGGCATCTTACAACAAACATTGGCAACGATTTGGTACTGCATTGGGTTCCGCATCTTGGTGGTGTCTTACAGCAAACAGGGGTACCATTTGTTACGGCATTGGGTTCTGCTGCCCTCCCTGCCCTGCCCTGCCCTGCTGCCCTGCCTCTGCCCTGCTTGCCCTGCTGCCCTGTGCCAATGTCCTGCCCTGCCTGCCCTGCGAGATGTCAGCCAACAATTTTTGGGGGAGTTTGCTTCCACGCTCTGGAGCTGTGCGGCTCCGCTTCCACCCAGGTTTCGAATCAACATTGATCGGGGCAACCGTTCTGGGTTGGCCAAGAGCAAATAAAAAAATCCGTCGATATGGCCTGGCGTTCTGCTTTTAAAGTCGTATGCCCGATTTTGGTGTCTTCTCGAGGGGTTTTCTTCATAAGCGCATCGCAGCATTGCTCGACCATCCACCCTGTAGGCTGTGCCATGCTCCCGCCACACAGTGGCTCATGAGTGACCCCGGGTCAAACTTGCTTCGTGCCTCAAAGAAATGCGTTCCGATTTCGGGCTTGGGTTCTTGATTTGGGCCCGTGCAAAAAAAATCCGCTTTCAAACAACATAGATTGTGGTTTCGACTGTTTATGCGCGGTCCTCATGCTTGCTGCCCAAAGAGCTCAAATCTCGACGTTCATGGTGGTGGGGTCAAAGCATGACGACGATGCATGGATTTTGAATTGCAGTCTCTTTGTGAGCCCTATATCTGCTCAGAAGTCGAGCCGCTCGCTTGAAATACGAAAACATTCGTTGCAAACAAAGCAAAGCAGCTTTCTTGGAGCTAGCCGAATGGTCCGAATTAAATAGCCCTGGACCCGCGTGGACGTGAAACGGGCCTTGGGCCGTGGCGTGGAGAGAGAGAGAATTCAGATCCCAATGAAAAGTATTCAACGATATATAAATCATATAAAATTCATTTAAAGATCTAATATTTTGGTGCCACAAAAAATTAGTGAATATTCTTTCAAGATCAATATATACGTGCTCTTATATAATTTATTTATATATTTTTCCAAATAAGGTAAAAATTTCAATTTTCTTCGTATGGATGATAAGATAAAATATATACGTGCGTGTATACCGACCATATATCCAATAAGAGATAATTCAATTCGACTTGAGCCCTAGAACAAATTTACGTATTCAAATGAAATGATAGATATTTGCAAGAGTCATATTCTAATATTTTCCTTTATAATTATATATATAGTCGCCCGTAATTGTTCCTGAAATTTTTGCAGTTGAAGATATTTGATTTTATAAGCTTTTATATATTTTTTTGAGTTGATTTTTTATGTGATTTTATGGTGATTTTTTTCGATAGATTTTTTTTTCAAAGCTATTCTGTTTTTATTGGCAATATTATTTCTTCAAAATTGCTGCTCCACTTTCTTTATTCTGGGTCGTTTTTCCAATACATATTTACTTCTTTTCGCCTCTTCCATACGATTCCTTAGGTTTTTTCTCTATATTGGTTCATTACTCATATAATTGAAAATACTGTAACTACAAGGCGCGAGTTTGATATGTATAAAAATCTAGTG